CAGTGCTAATTCATGACCACACACCTTTTAATCTGTAATAATTCTTAGGCATATAGGTATTCATAGGGCTATTCAGATGATGGATGATTGGAAAATCCAGTGTGTGTTCATCGACACAGTTTTCTGTTGCAGAGATAGTTGTACAACACAACGTGGATGCTTTTATTATGCTCAAAGTCTTCTGGGTTCCAGGGGGGCAGGATGGCTGTGTTTTGTTGCTGCACTCTGCAGGAACTGCCAGGTATTCTGAATTTGCTCTTTGCATGTGACCTGGTTCAGGTCCCTGGCCTCCAGCTGAGAAAGAGCACTGCGAGGCAGCCTCTCACTGTAGGGTAGGAGGGCCGAAAAGACACAAAAAATGAGGACTGTTTTGTCACCCTTAGTAATTCTGAAGCATATGTAGCTCATTCTTCTGGTAAGTTTGCTTTGCTGCAAGGATGCACAGGGGTGGTAAAACCAAGTATTACCTTCAGGTGAAGGAAACCTGGTCTGGAGTGGAAAAGATGTAGCTCCTGCTGCTACTTTCCTCAGTGTGGCTGTGTGCTGAGCAGCTCCAGAGGTAGGAGAGTGTAGTTGGGCAGTAACACACACTGTGCCCTTGGAGCAGTGGTTCAACAGGTACCTTTGTCTGTTCCCTTCTCTGCACAGCCTGTTTGCCTCAAGTGTTGACAGACAGTGAGCAATAACACCTGCTCCCACCTCAGTGCTGCCCCTGCTTTTGGTATCCGCAGAAGAAATACCTTTGAGAAGGCATTAAATGCATTTAATGTGTTTAACTGTAAATATCAAAGGTATTTACATACTCTTCATAAAGTTTTGTTTTGAAATCATCCAGTTTGTGGCGCACAAGCCTGATGTGTCCTGTAGGACAATTCTGCCCCAGTTAGGCACTTAACCCTGCTGATCAGGTCTCTGAACTGGCCAAAGTTTTCTCTCCTTAAATCCAGGGTTCTCCTTCTGCTTTTTACGTTGCTCCTTCCTCTTGCGATCCTGAACTCCACTAAGAGTAGCTCATAAAGATGCTTCTAACTGGTGTTTGGCTTAGCACAGAAAAAGCTGAACCACTAAGCTTTAAAGCAAATGCTGTGCTTAGCAGATTCAGATTAAAATTCTGTGTGGGCTGATGTCAACCTAGATTTAATCTGGTCAGGTCATTTTATCAGAGCGGCTCTTGGTGTTATTGGTTGCATTTGTCTGCAGCAAACACATTCCCTGTAGCCAGTGCACAGCTGATGCACAGATTCCTGGCTCTGCCTTTGCAAATGTTGTATTAATCAGGTAGATGAGGTGAAGGAAGCTGCTGTTGACCCAAAGTGCTTGCAGATGGCAGCTCTGCTCAGGGCAGTTCCTGTTCACCATGTTGCTTTTCTTGCTTCCTTCTGGCTCAGTGGTGAGCATTGCCAAGATCAAGCTGCTTTGTAGTACCAGTGAGATGTGGAGAGCAGCAAAGTGGCTTTCCCGTTACTGTAAAGGCTATTTCAGTGGACACTACTTGACAAGTTATTATAATTTCTGATGGCAGGCTGGGACCACAGGAAGAGATCTGGTGGGAAATAGCTGAACTGAAGGCGTTTCATCCAATCTGTGCTAAGCTGAATTGAATTTTGATTATTTTAATGTATGGAATAGGAATCTGAATATGATTATTCTTGACAGTGGTGTCTAGGGGATCTTTCCCTCACTTAACTAGTATGTGCCTACAGCTGGAGCTGGGACATGGCACTGCTGAGCTTTCAGGTAACTGTCATTTTACTCTAAACTACTCAGGCATTCAGAGCACTGATGTCAGTGCTGACCCTTTCAGTCAAGCCTGGCTACCCTGGGAAGAGCAGTGATGGCAGGCCAAGTGATCAGGGTGACATGGATACTAGTGGAGACTGGAGAGCATGTCATAAAAGTTGAACGACTAGGGTAGGATGAACAGAGATGAGGACAATGAAAGCTTTAATGATGCAGATGTAAGGAGTAGCTCTGAGCAATAGGAAAACATTAACATAGAACATCTTAAAGCAACTTTATGCTTACTTAGTTAGCCATAGATATACTGCAGCCAGTAGCCTGACCATAATCAAAACACGTGGAGGGTAGCTGTGAACAGACTTCTGCATGAGACTATAAACAGCAATGTTTTCATGGGTCAGTACCTGGGTAGTGGTGTCTGTGTCAGGATTTTTAAAAGAGCCTAAGGACTGGGAAATATTTGACCAGTTTTTTATATATTGCCACAACTCTAGGGGGGCATGTCATTTCACTGAGCAAATGTGTTTTGCATCAGAACAGCTTACGTGTCTGAAAGATTAAGATGTTTTGGTGTAAGTACATTTAATGTGAGAGAAATTATGTTCCACACATGAGGTTTTTATTCCGCTGAGGAACGAAGCAGAATCATTTGTCTTTGTAGGTAAACGAGTCTGGCAGTTTGGGTGATGTGCATATTATCACAAAGCAGACAACAGTGAGATGTGAGCTTTTGCTAGCAGGAGCAGGGACAGACCCACAGGGTCCAAGCGCAATTGAATAAACAGTGGATTGTCTGGTACCTCAAGTCTCTAAGGATAGAGACCTAATGCGATCACATAACTCCAGACCAAAGGCCTTCTCCTGGTTGTAAGTAACTTCACCTGTACCGTGAATTGAACATACTCTTCAGTAGAGTCCTTTTAGGACTCTACATTCACGTCTCCTTTGATTTTAGAACATATCAGTTCAACTCTGCAGTGCCTTTCTGCTTGTGCTGGGTCTAAATAGATTTTACAGATTCAAGTGCCAGTCTGATTGATAAAATGCTGCTGTTCCTTTCAGAGAAAGAGGTATCATGGGGAAAGAGAGTGGAAAAGAGAGTGAAATCGATACAGACAGAATCCAGGAGGGTCAGTGATACAAAGAGAAATTAGAGGAAGTGGGAGATGTAGTATAAGAGGAGAGGAGAGAAGAGACAGAAGTTTGTAGGGGAAAAAACAATGCTTTAGCTGGAAGCAAATCTTGAAAAACGAAATTTTGGATTGACAGGTTGTAAAATAGTGCCAAGTTCTGTGAATGGCTCCAGACTGCAGGACATCCATACAGACACCCCCCCCCACACACAAACACCGTCACACATAAAAAGGCAGAGGAAAAAATAATAGTTAATTTTCACATCTTCAGATGTAAAAAATAACTTATTGTTTTAAGTCATTATCTCTTTAAATGTTAAGCAAAGTTTTTAAGGGAAA